AACATACATATATATCATATGAAGAGTAACTAAATTCAGGGATGTTTTGTCTTAATTATAATTAGGACTTTCTAGGCTGGATACATATGCACTGCAGAGTTGATGTTCACTTTAAGACTCGGGCTCAGTGCTGTTCGCTTCAAACGACATTGCCCTACTCATTTAGACATTGAATTCAGACAGGTACCGATTTATGTAATGGAGTGAATTTAAACTTATTTGCATCGGTTGTTTAAATATCTCTATTGATATTTACAACTGTAACTAATCTGTCTTTTACTCTAATGAAGAGTAAGCCTTTCAACAAGTCAAGTCAACTTAATCGAATTAAATTCATGTACAATAAATAAGGTAGGTGAAGATTTGATTTTTATTGTTGTGCTATTAGTTGGCTATTATTTGTCTTCCGTTGAGTTAGTGGTACTATAGTTTATCTTATTTCTTGTTGAAGTTTTGATTAGATTTTTCGATTACAACGTGTACTAGTAGGTAGGTGCAAAACTATTTGGTTTCGGTGTGCGTTGTAATCGTAACCATAGGTTACAGACTTTAAATAATATGATTCAAAATCGTTTGCAATGTCGCAGGTGCACCCATTCTTTGTACTCTCTCAAATTCTAGTCCTGTGAATTCCTTATCGCCTTTACCTTACTCCTTTTAAATTTATTTTACTGGATTACACTTATTGAATGATTTCATCGAACCCTGCGACGAGCTATGTTTTGCAGTGTTGGAGTAGATTGGAAGAAAGTTAGGGGTCGCCAAACCAAAACATGGCACAAATCCATGAAGTCACTGACAAGTGGACTGAGTCATGTTGGTAGATGTAGGCTATCTGGTTGGGGTCCGCGAGACGATAGTCACCGATGGTTAGAGACCTTGAACGACATGGCTTAGAAGCATTCACTCTTTGTGTTCTGTGAAATTCTAAGCTTCTGCATCCCTCATAATATCTACCTTTCTCCTTCTAAATTTATCTTACTGAATTATACGTCTCAACCATATCTTCGCTTCCTAATGTTCTCCATTACTGCTAATACTTCTATTATTGCTATCACTCTTGGATGTGAACTGACAGTTGCGTCTCTGTGCTGATGGGGCATGGCAACCGGAACTGATGTACTTACGTACGAAGTTCTGCGTTGTATCTGCCTGTCTGTCATCGAACCCTAATCTTCTTCTTCTTCTTCATTACCACTGATAATTCAACAATCTCTACAACTATGGGATTTGAATGAACAACTCGATCTTCGTGTGTTAATGTGGTATGGCAACTTGTACTGATAAATGTACCCATGCACTAAGTTTTACATTGTTACTGACGTACTGACTGGAATACTAAATGGAATTTACATACAATCTACATAAATCGAATGAATACTAACACTAATACTAACTCTTCAATGTTCATAATGCATACACGTAGGGAAGGGAGAGAGAGTATCAGATTGTCAAAACTAGAAATGATTGAGGAAAAAAAATCCGTATACTTTAGAATATATCTATTATTAGGTTATATTGCTTAAGATTATTAATCACCATTGATATTCTGTACAAGATCTTTTGTTCGATAACTTGAAAACTAGTCACTCTCATTCTAGGAATGTAGAGATTGTTGAGATCATCAACTGATCAATGTTAGATCACCATTGAAAGCCTGGAAGCATTGGACGTTCGTCCTGTCCTAGGGTGAGGACTTTGCACTAGTGCACATCTACGACTGTCGCGATTGGAAATCAAACACAAGACCTTTGATCTCTCGTATGAACGCTTTATCTCTAGACCAGTGAATCAACACCGAACTTTGTGTATTCACTAGTGAGGAAATTATGGGAAGGTATGACCAGTGGAGTTCAGTCACGTCGGGTGTAGGCAGTTACCTACCGAAGACAATGGATGAGGTCGCGTAATAACTTGGATTGATTGACGTTAAAAACTATCACCGTTAGATACCGACTCACTAGTCTAGAGGTTAAGCGTTCGCGCGTGGGATTAAAAGACTTGCGTTCGATTCCCGCGTGCTGGGCGCCATGGATGCACATTGTTGATAAGTCCCATAACAGGATGCAATGGCCATTCAATACTTCCAACTTCCTAATGGTTGTCTAACATTGATCGATTGATGATTTCAATGATAAAACTAGTTATTACTTTCATTTTAATTTGCCCTTTTCTACGTAACACAATTTAACACAACGATATTAGTTAACATATCAAAGATTCCGATTGTGAATATTAGAAAAATACAAACATAAAGTGAACAATTTTAGTGTTTTCAATTAGATCCTCATCAAGTTTTATACATCAATATTTATGATGAAAATGTCAAATCAATCATCATGAAATAGAGATTACGTAACTCTCTACACACGCAATAGGTAAAAATACAAGTTGACAGTAGGAAGACAAGTGTATCGATAGCAGTAGTAAGACTAATAAAATACAATAACCGACATTCATGTTAGGCTATTCATCAAATATCCTAAAGAAGTTAGTTTGTAAGTCTAATTAATTCCTATTGGTCAATATTAAAAGGTCATCCTAAACTATCAAGTTCACATGCGTTTAAAATGTTGTTTCCTACTGGTTAGTATTCGCATTATCTGTAAAGGCTCCTCTTCTTCTTCTTCTATACAAAACCTCATATTTTCTGGGTGCTTGCAGAATACACTGTCTACGCCATATTAAAACTTTTAGATACCGTTAGTCAGGGCCTTGGGACACTCGGATTAAAACAGTCTATCGTGTCAATGGATCCCTTGTCTTCGCTCTCATTTACCGACTAAGGTGAACTCGAAGTGTGGTGTACGCTACTTATGTTCACATAAGTAGTATATGATATCAAATGGAAATCAAACTTCTGACAGCAAAAGATCGAGAAGGAAAGAATGAGAACAGAAGGCGATTTGTATGTAACGTAAAGTGAACTGAAGTCTGAACAGTCTAAATGAAAGAACACTGAAATCTGAAACAAATAAGGATTAGTTTGCAAATGATGATTACACGGGAAGGTTTTGTACATATGCTTAACAACTCTGTAATTTTGATTAAATATATGTGTTGATGGCCTTACCTGAGTTCTCGAGCACAACAGTAGTAATGGCATTGAAGCATATCAATTGACATGCGTAACAAATAATTATGAATACAACAAACTATTGACAAAAAAAGGCAAGCAAAAGGGCAACAACAAAAAAAAAACACACACACCCAAATACCAACAACTTACACATTTCACATGTTTATTCTCTATACAATACAATGCTAATTCATAAATACATTGAGCATTTTTAACAATCGATGCAGTTGGTAAATTATAACGTTTTGTATTTTCATAGAATTGTAAAAAATCCGATTGAATCGAAGTGGATTGACGATAGAAACCGCTGATGAGACGATTTAATATGAAATTTAAATCAATCATATAGACATTAATGAATAAATAGTCGGGATAAGCAGCTAAATCCACTGGAATGATAAATTGTTCACTAATATCAAATTGCATAATCTATACAATGTAGAGAGAGAATTGAGAAGAAAAAAAAAGGGGGGGGGGGAAGAGATGAATTTACTACAGCAGAGTAAAAAACCTGGTGGTAATAAAGAGTGTGTGCTACATAAGTAACACTACTCATAAGATAGCACATATAAGTAGTATGAGGTGTAGGAATTCTTAGAGAAGAGTGTCAGGCTATGAAAATGTACAATGCGATCAGACTGTCGCCATTGAAGATTAGAGAAAGATGTGAGAGCAGCCAATGAGAAGCCTATTTGTATGGCGAATGGATATTTTAATGTTAGGTGTATAGATTTTGTGAATCAAATTGTATTTTCCCCCTGTATATAAAATGCATTGCACGTTTATCATTAGACTATCGATTAGGCGATGTAGTTGTAGTTACGAAATAGATACTAGGTAAGTATGGAAGATTAATATAGATGAAGTATTGAAACTTCATCAGTTGAGGTGGTTGGGACATGTGTTAAGAATGCCTAACCATTGACTGCCACGACGAGCAATGTTCTGCCATGGAAGAATAGGTTGGAAGAAAGTTAGGGGCGGCCAAACCAAAATATGGTAGAAATCAATGAAGTCACTGACAAGTGGACTGAGTCATGTTGGTAGATATAGGCTACCTGGTTGGAGCCCGCGAGACGAAAGTCACCGATGGTTAGAGACCTTGAACAGCATGGCTCAGAATCGTTTACAATCGCGCAGGTGCATCCACTCTTTATGTTCTATGAAATTCTAACCTTCTGAATTCCTCATAATCTCTATCTTTCTCTTTTTAAGCCTATTTCACTGAATTATACTTCTTGAATAACATCTTCGGAGCCTAATCTATCCGATTACTTCTAATAATTTTACTACCTCTACTACTATGGGATTTGAATTGACAATTGGGTCTTTACATACTAATGTAATATGACAACTTAGACTGATGTACCTACATTTGAAGTTCTACGTTGTCACTGACAAACTGACTAATCAATCAACACGGCTATCATGTAACAAATCAACACAAATATGTAGAATGCAGAGGCTGATGGTTAAAGTAGAGAATAAATCTGCCGAATTATGAATGATTCTATTGAACTATATCACAGTGAAAGTTTTTTTCAGTTGAGGAATTGTACGAACACCCTAACTAAGTTAGTTAGTATCTAAAAGCATAGTTTAGAGCAACCCCTTGAAAATGAGTTTATGTTTTAATTTGACCGCACATAGATTTCTGCTTCTTGTTGTTCTAGTGTAATTCCTACATTGGAGAAAACATCATAACATTGAAGCAAATAGTTTTTAATGCGTACGTACGTGTGACAGCAGTAAGGTGTTTCCCTCGGACAACCAGCATCTTCAGCGACACTGCTGCCTTCTCACAAGGAAGGAATGGGTTACAAAAGGTCGACCCTAAAAATGTCATACCTCATCCTACCTCACGGATTTCCGTCTCCGGCAGTAAGGGTGCCCACTGAGGGCTTTCAAGAGCGGAGCTAATGCTCAAAATACCTTTCATCAAAAGGCCGTGCGTGACCGGCCTCAAGCAGTTGTCCCTTGGACTCTGCGGTCACGCTCCCAGGTGGTTAAGAACAACGCTAATCCACCTTCCTTTTCAGGTTCCTCAAGAAACACCCTTCCACGGTGTAGGCAGCCGGGAAGTGACAACCGCCCTCATACCCGTAACAGCACACATACGCGTAAATGCGTACGTAACACATACTCCAACCTAATCATCTCCATCAGATTACTGTTACAAAAGTCTATTCGAGTCATACCATCTCACATCTAACAACAAACCTATATATAACATTTACATGATATTGATATTTGAAGGAATAAAATTATTCAACAATAAAAAGAACAATATCTTCATCATTATAAACACATCCTAATGTGAACATGAATTAATTGTCTTCTATTCAATAAAATCAATTGCATAGAAAAGTTTTTCTATACGTTAATCAAACTTTAGATTTTTTTAACAAACAGAAAAATTACTCTGTTAGGATATTCACCAAATATCCTAAGAATACTATTTTTAGAAGTACAATCCTATTGGTCGAAATTATGATCGTTATAACTGTCAAAGTCAAATACTTCAATGTTGCCTCTTATTGGTCATCTGGACTGTCAATGTCATTCAAATGTTCTTTTCTATTGGTCGTCCTAAACTGTCAATGTCACAGACGTTGATGCTTTTTCTTATTCGACCTTAATGTATAAATACGCACTATCTGTAAGCCTTCATGATTCCGTTTCCCCTGTCTACCTCTTCTTCTGTATTCGACCCAATAAACAACTCCCTTCCACGGTGTTGCGTTCTGATATCTACGAGATTTGGAAATAGCATTTTGGGTCGTATTGGGATATTTGAATTGGACGCCGCTGGGACTGAATAGCTATACGTAGCAGCGTTACAACATACTCAATTACATTTTCATTGAAATTATACTAATATACTTTTTCAGTTCATTGTACATAAGGTTATGAGAATAATTCCTAAAATAAACAAATTTCGATTACTTTTTTTTCTGTTTTAAAAGACTAATTGTATTAGAGAAGGAAAATGCGATAAATTTTTATTCATTCTAGTAAAACTACTTGCTTCTAATCTAATGTGATGTTACTTATTATCACTTCAAAAAACTTACTTACGTCTGTTATCCCTAATGGAGCATAGGCTGCCGCTCTCGGACTACTGCCAATACCTCTACTACTATGGGATTTGAATTGACAATTACATCTCTGTGCTAATGTGGTATGGCAACATGAACTGGTGTACGTACGTACGGACAAAGTTCTACGTTGCTATTGATTGGTTGATTGATTGCATAGGCTCTCGACAAGTGAATGATTTTTATGGCTGGCGTGTTTTTTTTTCTAGCGAGTTGGATTTCTACGAGATGAAGTCGGTAACACAGTAAGCAACCCTCTCCCTTTATTCGTGCTTGTGACCGGCAGTAACCCTAGAAGGTCTCCCTCTAGGCGGTGATTGTACTTCTAGGGATCAATCCTATAGTACTTTAAAAACTAGTCACCTGTTCAAACTTATGTCACTAAATATTGTTATCATTATGAATATTCGCAGTGGTGAATCTTTCCACACCTACTTTATATGACTACAACTTGGGAGAATCAATAAGCAGTAATCTCAAGTATGACATCTTAGATTTATATTATTTTCTGATATAATTTATTCTTATTCCAACACTCCCTAACTAAATGTATGTTATGATATAGCTAATACATAAGTAATGTGATGTTCACTTGCATAATCGAAGGTCCTGTGTTCGATTCTTGAATCTAAGGTCATAGATATTGACCAGTGAGAGTTCATGTTCGAACAAACTGACTATCCAGTATCTCCGCTAAGTATTTCAATGTTTGCAGACTAGCTAACTGTTGGGGATGTTAGATCGCCAAAATTCGCCTGATAAATGCCTTATTTTGGTTTTTACGTTTGCGAGCATGGGCTGATCAGTTGACCTTGAGATTTCAATTCCCATCAGGAAAATCCATGGCTGTGATTGGCTGCTGTGTATTTTAGTGTGCTATTTTTGTGACTGTCTCAAGGACGTTTCTATGTTGTATAAATAAACGAAAGTTGTATGCTTGATGGTACTGTGGATTGCTAGGTGTTTGTAGAATATACTTTCTACGCTTACCACGACTTCTGTTTTGATTCAAAGGTAGCCTAACTGGACGCTGGTAAAAGTCTTGTTCACGTTTATCGACTAAGGTAAACTCGTAATAGCTTCAAGCATACTAAGTGACGAACCCTACACTAACATCAATTAGCTAGCGATTAATAAACTGTCATAATAATAATAAATATAAATAATTACTTGAGTTATACATTCAACAAGACGTTTAATTTCTGCAAGATAATCAAACGTTTGATTTGTTGTATCCCAATATTTGGAAGTACCATACAATAGACATATTTGTTCATGTGAAATATGTACATAACCATCTACTAAACTACCATATAATATAAATTCTAAAAAAAAGAGGAAAAAAAACAAGAGAAATAAAATAAAATATGAAAGTATTTTTGAAATATGTTAATGTGTGCCTCACCATCAACTGTCTCTACGAGCTATATACTGTGTGGTGATGCGGTAGGTTGGAAAAAAGCTAGGGGCGGCCAAACCCTAACTCGAAGCCACTGATAAGTGGATTGCGTGATGCTAGTAGATGTAGACTACCTGGTTGGGGTCCACGAGATGATTGTTACCGATGGTTAGAGATCTTGAATCATTTGCAATGGTATAGGTGCGTAAACTGTTTGACTTCTCTAAAATTCTAATCTTCTGGATTCCTCATTACCTCTATCTTTTTCTTACTAAATTTATATCATTGAATCATACTTCTCCAATCAAATCTTCGCTCCCTAATCTTCTCGATTACCTCTAATACTTCTACTATCGCTATCATTCTTAAATTTGAACTGACAATTGCGTCTCTATGCCAATGTGGTATGGTAACATGAACTTATGTACGTACATACACACATACATACATATGAAGTTGTACGTTGTAAATGATAAACTGACTTTTTAAATAGAGAATTAATCAATTTGTGGTACAGTCATACAAGTATCTTAATTTCTAATAGATGAGAAGTTTCAGTTTTAGCATCTACAAACAATCTTTCAGAATTTTTTTTATAAAAGTCAGATCTTATTTTTTTCCTTTTTCTGAAAAATTTTTAACAAAAAAACAAATCTAAAATTTATTACATAATATTTTCCTGGCTCAAAAACACATTTAACAATTTTAAAATATTTTGTGAAAAAAGTATTACGGATGAATGGTGGTAAGCAGTGGATAGAAGTACATGGTGTTTCAACCTATTTTATAATACTCGTCAGCTTCAATATTATCTGCATCTGTGGAGTTGATGATTTAAATCCTGATAGACTTCCAATCCAGTACACATTCATAGATCAGTTGTACAGTCCTCCTAAGTAAACATAATCTCTAATGATGGTCGATGTGTGTGT